CACACACACACACACACACACACACACACACACACACACACACACACACACACACACACACACACACACACACACACACACACACACACACACACACACACACACACACACACACACACACACACACATGTTCTTCCTCCTCCGTTTCCTGCTCCCTTTTCTGGTGTGCAGAAGGAGAAGACTGTGGATGCCAAGAAGGAAGAGGAAGAGGAAGAGGAAGAGGAAGAGGTTGACGACGATGATGAAGGGCTGGACGCGAGCGTGGGCAGTGGCGCTGACGCTACTGCTGCGCCCACGCCAACAGCCGTCGCCCTTACCGCCACATCATCATCAAGCACTGCCGCATCAGCACCTGCCAAGCCGCGTGTGGAGCCCGGTGCGCACCTGAGCAATGTGCACGTGCTGCAGGAGGGCGGCGTGCTGTACGAGGCAAACCTGTCCTTCATCAACCTGGCCCAGAATTCCGACAAGTATTACGTCATCCAGGTGGCGGAGGCGGATGATAAGTCCGCCTACTATTGCGTCACCCACTGGGGCCGCACGGGCACGCTGGGCATGTTCAAGGTGGACGCTGCTTCCAAGGACGATGCCATTGCTGCATTCAAGCACAAGTTCCTGGAGAAAACAGGCCTGGAGGTACTTGGTGTGTGTGTGCATGCGTGTTTGTGTGTGTAGTACATGCGTGTGCGTGTTTTTGTGTGTGTCTGTGTCTGTGCGCGTGCTTGTGTGTGTGTGCGCGTGCTTGTGTGTGTGTGTGTGTGTGTGTGTGTGTGTGTGTGTCCGTGTGTGTGTGCGTGCATGGCTATGCGTGTGCTTGTCGCCTTGCTGTTTCCAGGCGTCACACTCTCATAACCCGCCGCCCCCCCCCCCCAAATGCACCACCAACCCCTCTAGTTTGAGGACCGCAACAAGCCACCCGTCCCCGGCCACTACAAGTACAAGAAGAAGGACTACGCCACGCTCGCAGCACCAGGTGTGTGTGTGGGTGTGTGGGTGTGTGTGTGTGTGATGAGTTGTTGACACCTTTTTCTTTTTTGCTTCCGTGTGGTGTTGTCCACATGCTGATGTACGTATGTACGCACGCTGACCTGCACTGCCCTCTCGTGTCGTTGTTTGCGCTTCTATTTGCTCATCACCCCCGCAAACCCAGGCACGGTCCTGTGGCAATACTATGTGGACGACTTTGTGGACGGGAAAGCCACCGGCTGGTACCCGTACACGGTGAGCGCACACGTGTTTGTTACGTATACGTGTGCATGTGTGTTTGTGTGTGAAGATGTGTGTGTGTGTGTACATAAGCGTGCGTGTGTTGTTTGCTGCCCAGCACCAAGCCACCACTCACCACCATATGCGACATGGTTGCCTTTGTATGCGTGTGCCACAGAAGCATGCTGCTGCCACGGTTGAAGGCGTGTACAGCGAGTGGCGCGTCAACGACTGGCTCGATGTCAGATGCGTCCAGAGCGGCTACTTCCAATACCGTGCGTACGCATCCCTGTTTTGTGTGTACATGCGTTTAAACTCTTTTTATCATCCATTACACACACATCAATCACACACACAATCACACTCACATCAATCACACACACACACACACACAATCACACACACACAATCACACACGATTACAACCACACACACACTTACAATCACACACACAATCACACGTACGACCACGCAGGTGTTGACTTCAACACGATGACGCAGATGAACCTGAGGACCAGCAAGTGCCGCAAGATCCGGCGCGTGGATGCCAGCGGAGTCGTCACAGACACCCCCTCCTCGACCACATCCTCCACCTCATCATAACACGCACATGCATCCATGTTTTGAACACGACTTCGGTGTGCCTACCTGCGTGTCTTTGCTCATCTCGCCTGTTCTTGACATCTGTCCCGTCCCCTTTTCCCTGTTGCTGTTACAGCTCTCAATGCCTCGTTACACCAACCCCCACACCCATGCGCGTGTGTGCACACATGCAATCGTCTGCCCTGTTTCCTCCGTGCTGCCGTGGCCGTTTATGCATCAGTCAATACAACTCCGTTCAAAATCCAATATGTGAGACGTGCAGACATGTCGCATTGACAAGCACAAAGCTCAATAACATACACACACACACACACACACACACAATCACACACACACACACACGATCACACACACACACACGCACACACACACACACACACACACACACACACACACACACACACACGAACACACACAGACAACTGGCGCATTAATGATGTCTTGGTTGCGCCGTTTTCGCTCGCTTCCTGGCCTGTCCACCGTCACCACCACCACCACCATCGTCGTCATCACCATCATGATCAGCACGACCGCTATTGCCCTCCTCGTCGTCATCATCATCGCTGCCACCGCCACCATCACCACGCTCGTTGCTTCGTGCCGGTGCCAGCGGCGCGCCGAGAGAGATGGGTGGCAGGCGGGGGTGCGACGAAAGCTCCTCTGTTGGATGCAGAAACACGGGCACTCGCACGCGTGTGCCGTGCACGCTGCTGTGGTGGTGATGGGCGTGGAGATTGGGGAGATGTTGGACACTGTGGTGATGGTGGGGATTGTGGTGATGGCGGTGGTGCTCTGGGTGGACGTGGGGGCGGTGGTGTGGCGGATGGTGGCTGTGGTGATGATGAGGTGAGCCGTGTGCCACGTCCAAGGGAACTGGCAGCGGTGGCGGCGGCGGCGGTGGCACCAGATGCGCTGGAAGCAGAGACAGGGGAGGTGGTGAAGGCGATGTATGCACGTTGTGCTGCTGCTGCTGCTGCTGCTGCTGCTGCTGCTGTTGTTGTTGTTGTTGTGGTTGGTGTTCGCGGGGCCCGCGGTCGTGGCGGTGAGATGCCGAGTGCAGGGGCGCTTGCGGCGGTGGAGGTGGTGGCGGCGGTGGGAATGGTGGTGGCAGCAGCGAGTTCACGTGCGAAACTGGCGGTGCAGCGGTTGTGGTGTGAGGGTGCTGCTGATGGCGGGACTTGTGCACCTGCTCATCATCGCCACCAGCACCACGAACTGCAGCAGCTGCGCCATCTAAGTGTTCAGTGCTCGCGACTGCGGCAGGTGTGGTGGTGCTGACACTTGCTCCCACATCATACACTGGATCGTTCACACTGACAGCGCCGTGCACATGCTGCTGCTGCACCACATGTTGAGGGTGGTGCATAGCGTGGTGCGCAGACGGCAACAGCAGAAGCGGGTGGCGCGAGTGCAACTGGGAGGAGGATGACCCCGAAGACGATGAAGTTGTGACTGTGGCATGTGGTGGTTGGGCCGGTACGGGCGCAGGTGCAGACGATGAAAGCGGCTGTCCATACACGTCAACAACAGGCAGGTGGCCGTGCTCAGACCACACCACCCCCTCATCGCCCTGCCCATCATGTCCATGCTCATGCCTGCCTTTCACCGCCCTCACGGCAGCGGCACGCGTCCTTCGCGACCCCTTCTTTGCCCCTGCTTGTCGCTGGCCACTGCCTTTCGGCTTCGTACCACCATCACCTCCCTGACCCCGCGTCCCGACATGCCCTATCTCTGCCCCGTCCTCTCCAATACCACGCTCCACCCTGTCTTTGTCTTGCCCACCGTCTTGGCTGTTGCCTCGGTCCCGTCGCTGATGCGAATACCTTGCTCGCGTCCGTGCTTTCGCCTCCACGGCGCTTGCTTCACCACCCCCATGGCTCCGTTCTCTCTGGCCCGCTGTCTCATCCATCTGCTCCTTGCGTTCTCGTTTCTCATCCCCCTTCTTCGCACCCTCCTCCTGGCTGTCTTGCCGGTGTGAAAGCGGCAGCCCCATGTCACCACCACCACCATCATCATCACCACTGTTGTCGCTGTGATCAGCAATCGCCAGCCCGCCCATCCTCCGAGTCCCGGCATCCGCCACCACATCAACATCAACATCAACATCATCACCAGGATCATCAACATCGTCTGCGTCCTCATTACCAACCGCATCAGCTGGGGCGCGAGTGAAGGCGTCTTCCGCGCCAGCAACACCAATACCTCGTGCAGGGCGTGCGACACGCCCATTCGCATACACAGTGCACGCTCCTTCCCCTGCTTCCTTTCCGCCTCTTTCCTCCCCTTGTCCTTCTACTTCTTCTCCTTCAACGCCCGCCTTCTCTATTCTGTCATTACACTTCTCTGCTTGTGCATGTGCAGCGCGATCAACACCGCCACCGCCACCGCCGTTGCCTATATCTGGGTGTGCTTCGTTGATGCCTGCACGTGCCGATGTGAGGGCCTCTGCCAGCTGCAATCGCTGCTCCGCCCCCGCTGGCGATGTGTACATGCGCGACTGTTGTCCCCGCGCGTGTGTGCCCGTGGTGGATTGATTGGTGCCACCGGTGCTGTGTCTCTGGTTGCACACAGCGCACGCGCGCTGTTGTTGTGGTGAGCGACTCTTCTCTGTACCACCGCGTTTCCTTTGATGAGCATCGCTGTAGCCAGCATCATGCGTGCACTCGGCTGCTGCTGCCGCTGCTGGTGGTGGCTGTTGAAGTAGCGAGAGTGATAGCGTGTCTCCCATGTCCAAGCACAGGTTGTGGATGAGGCAGCAGGCAACGGCAGCTGTTCCTGCCCAGTCCAGCCCGAGGTCAAACTGCTCGAGGCGCGGGAACCGATTTCGCACGCGCGCAAACACGCTTCCCGCGCGCTGCTGTCGACAGCTGATTATCCTGTTGAGCGCCATCTGCTTTGCCGTTTGCGGCGCAGGGAATGGCGTGACCAGCCAGCTGAGTAGCGGGAAGGTTGCGCCTGCAACGAGGTATCCCGGGTAGAGGGCGCGCGCGCCCTGCCGACACAGGGGCGTTTGCCGCAAACACAGATCATGCTTCACAGACCCAGGAAAGCCAGCAGCCACCTGCAGTCATCACCACAACGAAGCGACCGTGGTGCAAGAAAGCAAGAGGGAAAATGCGTGTTGTGGTGCGTGTTGTGCATGTGCGTGCGAGTGAGCGTATGTGTGCGAGTTAGCGTATGTGTGTGTGTCG